CCCCCCCCCCCCCGGAAGAACAGTCGAGATTCCTTCCACCTTTTCCGTCGCACGGGCGCTTGAACCTGGCCTCCTTTCCCCAGTCGTTAGTTGGTGCCTTGACCGTTTTCAACAAACGAATTTACACTTGTACGTGTGTGGGAGAGCCCTCACGCCTTCTGTTTCGCGGCTGTTTTTTGACTTGTCGTGACTTTTTCGATAGCCCATCGCTCCCCCAGAGGCGCCCCGTACGGCGGCTGACCCAATTCCCCTCCCCGCAGCAACCGCCCTGTCGACTGACTGGCGGCCCTTCGTCGCTGATCGATCGCTCCCATCGCACCATCGCACCACCAGCAGCGATGCCGACACGGCACCTCCTACCTCTATCTGGTTTAATGTTGGCGCTTTTATCGCTTTGTGTTCTTGTTGCGGACTGCACGAGCGCATCATCGGATGCCGACCCTGTGAGGAGGTCCTTGGGGGTAAAGGTCAAGGACGGCTCGGCGTACAAGCACCAGAAGTGGCTCAAGAGCCCCCTCAAGTACGGCATCAAGGCCTACAAAAAGGCCGAACACAAGCCAGAGCCGCCCAAGAGAATGGTGCCGATAGCCGAACCACCCACATATGAATGTCCACACGGCTTTGAACTCAACCAAGAGAAGCACATCTGTGAGCGGCTGGACCACCGAAAGGCCGTCAAGGGATGCCCACGATTCTACAGGCAAGGCGACTGACCATTCATTCACTCATTTGATTGCATGTGTGTGTGGGTGTGTCTGTATGTGTGTGTGTTTCAGGTATGACAAGACGCTTCACAAGTGCATCCGTGAGCAGGAGTTCGAGCCCGACTACCTGTGCCCCGAGGGCTACAAGGTCTACGGCAGCAAGTGCAAGGCCGTCGACGTGCGCCACCCCACACACAGGTGCGACCCCGGCTTCACGTACGAGAACAAGGGCAAGGGCGCCGGCCAGTGCGTCAAGTACGTCACCACCAAACCTGACCACCAGTGCGATCATGGTCAGTGAGTGGCTGAAGGGCAAAGGCACAGGGACAGGGATGGCCTGACTAGCTACTGACATGTGTGTGTGGTGATCAGGGTACCACTTGGTGGACCACAAGTGTCAGAAGGAGATCGCAGAGCAGCCACAGTTCACCTGCGACAAGGGCTACCACCTCAAGGGCGAAAAATGCATCAAACGTACGGACGCACGGACGACATGGCTCCTCACACGCACATTCAGAGAGAGAGAGGGTCTATGTCTATATGGAAATCCCTCCATCCACACATCCTTGGTGACCGGCTGGCTCTGTGCAGACGTGAGCGTCGCTGGCGACTTCCACTGCCCCGACGGCTTCAAGCTGGTCGGCTCGACGTGCCACCGCAAGACGATGCGCAAGGCCGTCAAGACGTGCACCGACGGCTTCACTCTGCGCGGCGGCGACAAATGCGTCCGGTCCGCGCACGCCATGGCCACACCTCTATGCCCCGACAAGTCAGCACACACACCAAAGACACAGAGGGAGAGATCGATGCGTTTGCGGCCGCCCACACCCACCAAACCCTCGTGTGTGTGCTCGTGGTATGGTGTGGTGTGGTGTTCAGTTACGAGCTGGTTGGCAAGGAGTGCGTGCATGAGAAAGAGACGGAGGGAGAGCTGGCCTGCCCGCCAGGCACCCACTTCGACAAAGACGGCACCACCTGCGTCAGAGAGGACCGCAAACCGCCCACACCCACCACCACCACTTCTGGCAAGAAAGGCGGCTACGAAGATGCTCATCCTCACGGTGGCGATGGGAAGGCCTTCCACCTCTCCGCACAGTCCGCCGATGAGGATGACAGCAGTGACGATGCGAAGCGGCGGTTGGGTCCGTCAGGGCATCACGGCAAGCACCACGAGAGCAAGGGCATCGTTGAGGACCCCCTCCCTGTGGATGAGGTGCCGACCTACATGTGTGAGCCCGGCTGGCAGCTGGTGGACCCTGGACACGATGCACCCTACTGCAGCATGAAGGTCGAGGTCGATCCCATCACCAAATGCCCGGAGTGGGTCACACACACACACACACACGCACACACATTCTCTTCTCACTGTGTGTCTTGGGTTGCCTGGGTGGTGTGGTGTGTGCAGTGGCAGGAAGGGTGGCCACGGCAAGTGTGTGCACCGCACTGTGGTCAAGCCAGACTACTCGTGCGGCACCGGATACAACCAGGTCGACGGCAAGTGCAAGGCAACCGCTGAACAAGAGCCCAAACTGGTCAGTCACCACACTCACACACACAAAGAGACACACCTATTGGTTAACCCGTCTGTCTGTCTGTCTGTGTAGGTGTGTGAGCACCACTTTGTGCTCAACGTCGACACTCACCAGTGCGAAAAGCACGAAGAAGAGCCCGCCGGCCAAATCTGCCCACACGGTCATCACACCCGACCCACCCACACACACAGGCCCACTGCACTCATCCGAACGTTCACATCACCTGTGTGTTGTGTGTATGCAGGTTACGAGACCCATGCCGACGGCCACTGCGCCAAAGTGCTCAAGAAGCGCGCCTCTGCGTCGTGTGCACACCCCTACAAGCTGCACGAGGACCACCACACCCACGAACGCACCTGTGTCATGCTCGACAAGGTGCCCCCAGCACCCAAGTGCCCCCACGACTTCCACCCGGACGGCAAGATTTGCAGAGGCAAAATCACGGGCGAGCCCGTCGAGAAATGCGAGGAAGGTCTGTCTGCCTATCATGGCTGAGTCGATAGAGAGACACACAGAGGGAGAGAGGTGTGTGTGTGTGTGTGTGTGTTGTGTTGCGTAGGTTACGAGCGTGATGGTGAGGGGCAGTGTGTGTCGAAGCATATGAAGGAGCCTCACCCCATCTGCAAGAAGGGCGAGCTCAAATACGATGCCGTCTGCGTCATTGTGGACTACAAGAAACCGGGTCTCGCCTGCGACGTCGGATACAAGCTCGATGGCAAGTCCCATCCACCCCCTCTGTCAACACACATCTGACACACTTTTTTGTGTGTGTGTGTGTGTGTAGGCAATCGTTGCTCCAAGCCCGAGTACACCAAACCATATGCCATCTGCAACGAGGCTGAGGGCTTCGAGTACGACGCCGTCGTCAAGCAGTGCATCAAGTGGGTCGAGAAGGCCGCCCAGCCGGCTGACCAAGAGGAGGTGTTGAGCGACATCATGGGACCGCCTGCGGATTCTCCGGCACCCGTCATCGCGCCCATCCCGGCGGCCATCCCGCCCCCAGTGCTGAGGCTGCCGAACGTGAGCAACTTCAAGCCGTACACCCACCCCAAACACGCGACGGGCTATGGGCTGGCCAACAAGTATGCGGCGCACCACGGCATCACTACTGGCGGCGTGAATGGCAATGGCAATGGCGGCATGGCGGCGATGGGTGCGGTGCCTGGCGGGTTTAGGCGGCTCCGAGAGAGAGTTGAGAGGAATAGAATGGGGAGGCACATAGAAAGGCTGTAGTGTGATGACACACAGTGGGCAGGCAGGCTGGTGGGCTGTGTCCCGCAGAGAAGGAGAGAGAGAGGGAGAGGACAGGTAGCCCATTCATTGCAACGCCCGCCAGACTGCTGCTATGTAGATTGCTGTGTGGCATCCATCGTATGTGTGTATGTGTATGCCTTTATTCTATCTGTGTCGTGTGATGTGTGCATGTACATAGCGAGCTGTGTGTGTGTGTGTGTCCGTCGGTCCATCGGCAAGTGCGTGCAGCCCACAGCAGTTCAGGCACCGCATACCAACAATCCAATCAACGTACACGTGTTGGTTGGCACGTGTTGTTTGCTGCCTGCCTGCCCTGTGTGGCCTTGACGCCCGCCGACCCACCGCTTGTTCGTAGACGACGAATACATGGATGGAGGAGAAAGCCTCTTGGCTTTCAGATACGTGCAAATGGCGTTTTTCGGTCAGTGTTTGTCTGCGTGTCTGCGTGTGTGAGTGGGG